GGAGAGGGAGCGAGGGTGTAAATCAAAGTTTCTGCTTTTTGTAAATTAAAGTTTCTCTGTTACCGCGGGAAGGGCTGCGAGGGGGAAGGGGAAGGGCTGCGCCCGGGGAGCTCCCGCTGGCATCTGCCTCTTGGTGAGCTGCTTGCGCTCCAGAATTGAAAATTTTGGGGACTTTTTCGTGTTGCTTCAGCAGGGCCCCTTGCCGCCTCCGGGGAGGAGGTGCCATGTGAGAGGCGGTGTGAGGCAGAGAGTGAGGAGCGGGGCCAGCCCGCCGGCCGGGACAGGCAGCGGTCCCTCCGCAGCTCCTCGGCGAGGGAAACGTCGCCTTCATACAAAACACAGCAACGCTACCAGGAATAAATACTGTTACAGATGCTGGCCGGTGATGTAATTTTCCTGAAGGCCGTTGGGGAAGCGTGGTGAGGTCCTGAAGGGCGGGAGGGGTGGGAGGCAGCGCCCCGCAGCCGGGCGGTAGGCGCCGGGTGGAAGGCATCGCTTACCTACCGTGGAGCCCGTCCCCGCCTCGCCTTTCCCGTGAGCGACGGATAAAAGTAAAAAAAGCCACTTACTTGCCGTAAACCTGACTGAAGATCCGCATGCGTGTGCTGACTCACGCGGGAGTCGTTTAGGCCTCGGTGCTTTGCTCTCTTAGCGTGAAAGAAGCTGCGAGAAAGGGAGGCGGGAGCGGTTTGCCTGGGCAGAGTTGGTGCGCCGTGGCTGTGGGGAGGCCATGGCATGGCATGGCGGGAGGGTGGCCTTCCTCCGCGCCAGGGTGTTGCTGGCACCAGCAGTTAATACTGTCCCACATTGATACCTAGGCAGTCCTCACTCAGGACCCCATTTTGCTGGATCGATGGATGCGCAGGCACAATGGGGCGGTGGTCTTAGGCAGGTGAAGTGGCTGTAGCTAATTAGGTTTGCTCTTAATGACTGGAACAAAGCTTGGGAGATAGAATTAAGAGAGCTGTGAATATGCGATTCCATCAATTGCAACTTTAATTGTAGAATTCACTGCAGGTTGAATGTGAAAATAGTAAATAATAGTAGAAAAGCAGCTCCATTTTTCAGATATATGAGTAAATTGTTCCCCTCCTCCTCCATCTCGTAAAAAAAAAAAAACCCAAGATTTCTCTGACTGAAGAAAATTTCTTTGCTTTTTAGTAGTGTTTCCTTCTTATTTATTGAACTTTTTCCACCAGAATGGAGTTATCAGGAAGCCACATAAAATCTTTTTGACAGGGGCTCGTTAATTCATCCAAACATTGTATATAAAGTTCTGTTTCTTTAAAAGTAAGCTGTTAGGAAATGCAGCAGCAAAACCTGTGAGGGATATGAATATTTCTGTAAAAGCCTGTGCCTTTTAAACAGAAGCTTGTCAGTTTACCAGGTGGAGGCAGAAGTAATTTCTTCAGTATTCTTTTATATCTGTTGCTCTTCAAGCAACTAAGGATGGCTACAAAAGCTTATGCTACAGTCAAAGGAGAGAGAGAGAGGGGAGGGGCAAAAAATCACTGAAAGATGCTGATCTCGGTGACCCCAGAGCAATGCAAAATCACAAGAGTTATAATGGATTTACACTAGTGTGATGTTAACGTATGGCTCCCAGGGCATTAATTGACATAGGTAGCATTGATGATGATAGTTACACAGAGATTGTAAACTGGGGTATGAGGAGTGTGTTTTAACTCATAGGTACAGAATATCATTTAAGATCAGTATGGGGGCCCTGTATAAGCTCTACTAATGCACCATTTGTGCTATAAGAATAAAAGCCTATTTTTTTCTTACCTCTGGGAAATATATTGCATTGCTTCTCATCAAAACATGCAGACTTTTTGTGTAGTATATGTGCCCGTTTGCTTGCAATCTCCACACATTTTTTACTGTTCTTGAACAATGTAAAATAGTAGAGGCTCTTTTAAAGGTGAGAGCTGCCGTGTGGAAATACATTCTGTTGTATTCACTTGTTGTAGTCAAAGACTGGCTGCTGTGGCACACATGAAATAAGATGTGGAAAATCAGTCTCTTCTGTCTCTCCCAGTGATAGCAACTAGTTGAGTTTAGACTGGCCTGACTGAGTCTAGATTATCATTATTAATGAAAAAGCATGTAAAAGTCTCCAATTCTCCTCTTGCTGTAATGATTCTGCAGTTGGGTGGCTGGCACTGTAAAATAGCTTTTCTCAGGAAGCAAATCTGACTTGGAGACACAAAAGGCACAGATTTTCATGCGAAACAGGGCACTATTTTCAAACAGCCACCTCTCTAAAAGTAATTGCATTTTTAATACTACAGACAGAAGGCTATGCCAACAGGGACTCCACTAGCCCTGCGCTGGCACTGAGGTTTATGTGTGTGCTTTGCTGTTGTCCTGCCAGACCTGGCTATGAGGTGCAGTGAAAATCCTGAAGATACTCCAGCTACTGGCTGCTGATAGCTAGGTATGTGGCACAGGACTTTTTTTTCACAGGCAATTTAGAGGAACAGTTTTTGTCAGAATAGCAAGAATACAGAAGAAGTAGTATTGACTGAGTTTTCAGCTCTTCAGAAATATTCTAGTTTGGTCTTAAATCAGCTGCTTTAAGGGACAGTTGTTAATTAATTTGCTCCTTGTATCGCCTTTACTGCTTCATTCTATGCAGTCTCCTTGGGAGCAGCCAGCTCAACGAGTGAATTCCCTAGTTAACCCAAAAATTTTTAGCTGGTCTTTAAGATCCTTCAGCCCCTTTATCTACAGCCTTTACATTTAGTAAGACCTTGTTGTGATAAATGTTAATGCTACCGATAAACCAGAGTATTCTTTACTGCCAGAGGACTTGCAACACTGGAAGTTGAACAGGCATAGCGGTTTTGTTGGAAGAAGAGCAAGGAGATCTTAGTGAAAAGAGGATGTGAGAAGGGCAGGGCCAGGAAATATATAAATGTATATATGCTTGCACAATGCTGAGAATAGAGGGAAGTCAGAAGAACCACTAGATAGAAGCACCAGTGCCCTCATGCAGAGGCCATGAGCGCCACTGCAGCTTATTGACATGGATTATACAAAACCTTGCTGTAAGCACTGATACTTTTACTGTACCCTCTTACTATGACAAATTTCATTTCCCTTTTTCATTTCCCTCCTTATCCCTGGCCTGGTGCCCATCTTGCTTCCTCTTTGTTATTCTCAGTTACGCAGGCTTACGATATGCATCTTGTGCCAGACTTGCTGTTGCTTCTCACATCCCTTCAGTCCCTATTGACACTTCATTTGGCCAAGGCCCTGTCTTCTGTCTCTTCTTTTCCTTTACAATTGATGGGTGAGCACTCTGCTCTCTGGTTCTTTTTAATTCCTGGTGGTCTGTTTTCTGTCTTCTTCACTTGACCGAAACTGCTGTCCTCAAAATGGGTAACTGACTCTCCAACATCATTGGCAGCCTCTTGAGTAAATAATGTTTTTTTATTTTTCCTCTCAGGAACAAGAAGTCCATTCTGTTCCCAGATAGGAAGCTTTTCTCCATAAGCGTCTCTCCCATTGTCTCCCCATACTAGACTCCTGCTTCACCCAGATATCATCTCATCTCTCTCCATTCCTCCTTAGGTGTTCAGCTGTTTCAGGCTTGAAAAATCTTTCCCTTTCTCCCCATGTACATACCTTTCTGTGTATAAACCTCAACGCTAATGTTCACTTCTCTAAATAGATGTGTTCACAAACTGTTGCTATTAGAGCAGGTGATCTCTCTTTATCATAACTTAGTGATGTTTTACAAAGGATTGTAAGAGCCTCAAGGTGGCTTTCAGAAAAATGATTTTATTCATTAGCCCTTTCAGAAATGGAACAGTTCCAGAAATGAGGCAGTAGTTCTCAACAGTGGATGTTTTTAGACCTTGGTCAGTGCACTGAGGTGTCTTACATAAATGTATGTCTCAGTCTTTTTTACCAGCGTTGCCATGACTGAAGCCACATCAGTCGCAAGAATTGCACTGGAATTGAATCCAACATCTGGAGTGCCCAAGATAGGGCAAAGAACACTATATGCACTCTAGCAAGCAAATGCTTTCAATGCATATTTATAATCTGTATAAGCATTTACCTTTAAACATACCAGATGTGTAACCTAGCATTGTAAAACTAACATTCTTGTAAAAAGAGACTTAGTACTTTGTAACCCTGTGATCCCTCACTGAAAAGACTAATGTTAAAACACTATGGAAGCTGGCACTCTTTTCAGAAAGAG